AACCCCAAGCACCAAACCCTAAACCCTAAACCCTAAACCCCAAACCCTCAACCCCAAACCCTAAACCCTCAACCCCAAACCCTACACCCTAAACCCCAAACCCTAAACTCTCAACCCCAAACCCTAAACCGGAGGCCACCACAGCGCCGAGCCCTTCGGCCCTGCAGCCTGGCACCGCCTGGGCTTCGCGCTTTGCAGGGCGCTGCTGGCCTTGGACTTTGCACGGCGGCCCCGGTGCCTGCGGCAAATGGTTTAAACTCCTTAAAGGGGGGGTTATACAGGGGACTATATAGGGGAGTATTATGTAGGGTTGAGGGTGTGAGGGTTAAGGGTTTAGGGATGAGGGTTTGGGGACTAAACTCCTGAAAGGGAGGTTGTACAGGGGGTTATATAGGGGAGCATTATACGGGTTAAGGGGGATACTCGGAGTTTAGACTACAGCTCAAAGTGAGCAGTATTTCTACGATGTGGGGATTTCCCAAAACAGGGAAGCCAATGTAGATCCTTATTCAAAGGACTCCTCGAAAGGGGCCCCTCGTTTTTGGAAACCCCCATATCCGCAACATTCAGGGTACCAGAATGGTGAATGAAATGGAGAATGAGATCAAAGCTGGGGTCTTGTAGGGGTCATGACTTATTCTTCTGGGGCCACTATAGCCCCCAGAATAGAATGAAATTATATCTTCCTCTTGGGCGCAGTATCTGTAGTTATTCCGTTTCAACCACAAAATGCGTCGCTCAAATGATGAACATGATCAACATGGTGGTTTCCAAAAAAAAGTTCCTATAGGCATATACAGAAACAGATACATAGGGTTATGGTTTATTGGGGTTTATTGTGAAGCTCTCCATTTATGGGATGAGCATGTTAGTGTTTTTTGCCATTAGGCAAAATATTTTCAAACTTTCTATGATGGTAATCCGCTATATAACCATTACCCATTTTGCCCACCTATTGGCTCCAGAGAAGCCTCCTAAGTATTTCGGACTCAGAATGCATGTGTTACGGACAAAGGTTTTGGGCTTGGCCAGCTCCGGTTGTATGTTGCGCATCACTTAATTCGTAAGATCAAGGGCCTGCAAGTAGTTGTACGTGTAAAGGCTTCCAGGGCGCAAAGATTCTACGTCCAGGAGTTTTCGGGGTTGGAATCCCTCCTGCTTCTGACGAGAATGCATGCTTCCGAAATGTCTTGAAGCACGAAGCGAACGGAAGCGAAAGTCTGTTGTGTCGTTAGTATTATCCTCACTGAGGCACCATCACTGAGGGAAGACGTTAGCCAAGACCCTGGAAAAGAAGCAATTTCGACTCAGCAGAGGCGCTAACCGCCAGCCCACACCACTGTGCTCCCTTTGCCGATTTTTGGTGCCTCCACTTTTTCAATTACTGCAAGTTTACATTGCCTATGCCGGGCAGTACTCATGCCATTCTGTTGCTAGTTTACATGTACTTGAGAGCATTACTCATTCCTGTCGGGAGGACGATCACGTCTCTTAGGCTACCTAACAACACTGATTTCTTCGTTCGAGAATTCGTAGATTATTATCATTTTGATGCAAAGAGGGGACCTTTCCATTCCATAGTTTTTGGTCACTAGAATCATCCACGGCTGGCGGTGCTCTTCTTAGGGGGCGGGGATTATTTATCCGTTTTGTGAATCCATTTCAGCTAGGCGCAGTCTCTGTCCGCCTGGCACTGATGCAGTTGTGCAGCTGAAAGAGGCTGCGTGGAATGCATTGCAATTCGTTTTAGATATTGTTTGGCCTGCTTCAAGATCGAAGAGGGATTGGTTTTGGCGGCGACAGCACAGGCAGGCGCACGGAGTGTTCTGGGAGTGTGGTTTCGGACTGAGTCATCTTGAGGTCCAGGATTCCGGTGCATTTTAAGTATATGGAGTTGGGGCCTTCATGTTTGAAATTTGACTTGTATGGTAATCTAGTCCACAAAATACCTATCCTGGATGAATCTCACATACATGACCTACAAAGATTCTGCAAGATCCCCCTCCAATCATGGTCTGTTCCTCATATGCAGAGAATCAAATGGAAAAGAAAATGGAAAATGAAATGGAAACTGGGGTTTAGGGTTTAGGGTTTAGGGTCTATATTGGGGTCCCCCTATTTAGGTAACGTACCATATAATGCCTATCCATATGAGATATAATCTAAACTCCTTAAAGGGGGGTTATATAGGGGATTATATAGGGAATTACTATAGGGGTTGTTAAGGGGGATACTAGGAGTTTAGACTATGACTCATATAACCCTCATCGAATCTGTATGAAATCCTATATCATCCTGATATATTCCTTTAGCATCCCTACGCAATCCCTATGAATTTCCTGCAATCCTTCTACAATCCTGATATTTCTTATTTCTGTATAATCCCGATGTAATCCCTATACCACTATGTATTCCCTGCATATCGCCCTGCAAACTCTAATATCATCCCGAAAGAGCCGCTATGTAAACCGTACATAACCTTAAACCCTAAACCTTAAACCCTTGTGAACCCTAAACCCTAAAACCTACATAACCTTTAATGGAGCCCCATGCTCCTTATGGTGGAGACCCATCTCAGATTACGGCAGCAGCCCGTCGGCTTCTGCTTGGGGAGAAGGCAACGCGAGGCCGGCCTCTAATGCCTAATAGCAATAGGGAAATATAGGGAGTATTTCGTCGTGTTTGAGATCAACAGCTCCAATATTTGGGCGCAGCTGTGGGAAGAAGCAGCAGTCATGATATCGCCAGTAACCCGTCACAATGGCATTAGCAAGAGCAAAGCAGCAAGTATATAATAGGCAGCAAGCATAGCACAAAGTCCAAGAAACTGCATGGACTTGAAGCGTGCGTACGGGCCGCACCTAACGTCTGATTCATCGATTGGACTCACAGTGATAAGATGCCCATGTGTCTTACAGATTTCCACGCGCCAATCATGAATGCGTCTTTGTAGCATGCCTGCATTCATGTTGCTTGAAACAAGCAGTCTTTGACTGTGACTGCACTGCCGCAGCGTAAGCGCTTGCGCCACTTAACACTTAGTTAATGTGGAGGACACTATTAGATCATATCTCAGCATATTGGTTGCCTGTCTTAGGCTTTTCTCCTCCTCTTCATGCAAGATTGGCATACAAATGGCAAGGGTGCAACTTTGCCAGCCTTTCTACCGAAAGGTCTTAGTCAACATAGGGGTTTCCCAAAATTAGGGGTACCATTTTAGGGGTCCCAATAATAAGGATTATAGTATTGGGGTCTATATTGGGGTCCCCCTATTTTGGGAAATTACCACATATACTTGTTGCTTATCCGACCCTGATCGGCGCCATGGAGCATTGGCAAGGCTTGCTTTGCGCTCTTTGCGCGGCGCTTGCCTTTGGTGTGCAATACGCACCTGTAGCTTGGGGATGAAATGGAAGAGCTTTAAATGGATTGCCAGTTGCTTCTGCGTTTGCCCGGCCTTCGGTTGTGTCGTCCTAGGTAAAGAAGTACGAGATATACGATGGCGTCACGTTTCAGTGGTTCATGTGCGCTGGAATTCTGATGGTTGGCTTCGTGGCATCCATTATCTTCAATGACTTTGGAATGAAGGACGCAGTGACAGCAATACATCTCAGCTTCACAGTGCAGATTGGATTTCTTCCAGCAAGTGCAGAAATTTTCATGCCCACCTGAAATTTGAGGACAACGAATGTCTGTTGATCATTGCTGGTGGGGCGCTCTGGGTTTGGCGCTTAGCTCCAAGAATCTGGGGTAGTCATGCAGCACAAGCGTCGTCACGCTACTTGCTACCATCAGCTTCTTTGGGAAACTCACAGCAAGCCACACAGGCTCTTTCGAACTATCTGGTGCTGCCATTGGTTAAGCTGCTGGGAATCGGTCTTGGCTTCTCCATGTACCACTTTGTGGCTCGGACATTATTTGAGCAGGCAAGTTGGGTTACCTGAGTTCTCATCACCCATTCCCCAGGGCTTGCAAGCTCAGGTCAATCTGATGGTGGGTTACCTCGTCGGCAGATTCGGCTTGTTTGGCATGGCGCGTCTAGAAGGCGACGTGTTCGTCTGCGCCCCTTGGCATCTTCTAGGTTTGGCTTGTGCGGGCTGCGTGACCTTGCGTTTCAACCGCTCTTCTCCCTATATGCAAACCCAGTTTACATTAATGTTCGATTTTCTTTTCCATCTATTTATCCAGGATTATTGGGGGCATACACCGGGATAGCCATATATTCCCCTACATATATATGCTACCCCCCCCTAAAACCTACGTTTTACAGAAAAACCATGGC